TTGGTGGACGACACCTTGGACGCCTTTGGCTTGCATGGCATGGGGGGGCATCGGCGGTGCCATCTTGACGGGCATCTTCGCGCTGGATGGCGGGTTGATCTACACAGGAAGCTTTGTGTCTTGGGCCTGGTTTGGACCCTGTGATTGAGGGTTTGAACCTCTTTGGGTCTCCTGACATATGATTCCTGACCCAAATAGGGTTTCCGGCTTCACTGGCTACAATGTATATTTAATGGTCCATTCCTATTCAGTGGAGTCGCACTTTTGACATGTTGTGGGCAAGTCAAACAGCGCTTCTAAATGGGGGGGACAGGTTGGATGCGTGATGGTGGTTTATTCTGTGGGATTCCCTCAAAGCTGGCCCCGCAGTTCCAGATTCCCTGAGTAACTTTTTGCTGGTTTCGATTTCAGCGGAACGTCCGCCGACTTAAGAACACGCCAGCAAGAGCCGTGACAAACTATCCTGATTGAACAAGCCGCAAGGTCAGGAGAAATGCCACCAACAAGAATCATACTGATTAATTGCACCCTGGTTTTCACAGATCCCGAGTCACCCTCCAAAAAAGCTGGATTCAACACGTGAGAGGGGGCAATACATGTTTGAGCGGACGACGCCCACGAAGGAGAAAGCTCCAAACCGTTCCGCTGGACGCCGCCGCCGCTCCAGCGAACGCCGCCGCCTCCGCCTCCGATCAAAACTGACAGACCACCCTGCTGAGATGAAGATCCTCTTCCAAGCGGGTTTCCATGGTTGTTCAACAAAGACGTAGTGCCACGCTGGTACCTCCCAGTAGAACATGGATGGTCATTGATCCGATGAGGAACTCTTGGGGAAGCAGATTGCTGGTGCTGCGGCTGGTGTGGCCTTCTCCGCCCTTGGCACGGCGCTCATCGTGGTGGTGCTGCGGCTGGTGATGAAGTTGAGGATCCCTGAGGAACACGAGCGCAGTGGCATTGACCAGCACACACATGGCGGGGCTGTCCAGGGGCATTTCAGATGTGGCAGTGGGTCAAAACCATGGAAGGTTGACAAACCATGGAAGGTTGACATCCCTTTCAGAGGAATCTGTTCATTCTCAGTGGTCTGGCCCAGGGTGGACCCCGTGCCATGACCCACTTGAACTATGATCTTCCATGTGTTCTCTTGCGTCAAAAGACCACTTCAATGCTTTATCAATCTTTATTCACTGCATCCGAACTGTGGAATGTTTATAAATATATAGAGAGAGAGGTGCCATAGATGGAATATCATTGTTTTGCACCTGATGGGTGGAATTATATAAGTCATAATGAGTGGATCGTGATTTCAGGCCCTCCGTGCGGATGCACCGACTCCATGACGAAAATCCTTTCTGTTGAGACCCTTCGGATCATACCATGACGTCCAGGTGTGTACCCGCCCCGAAACAATCATGGAAGTGCAACACCACCGGGCTTGTAGAGGAAAAACCATCTTCCACGAGGCCAAAGTCCACTTCCATGGTTGGAGGGGGTCACATGATGTAACTTCCCATGCAACTCGGAGGGTCCGGGTAGCGGGTAGCTGCCACGGCTCGGAGACAGAGCCGTGCAACCGATCGTGTGTCAACCAGTTGGCTTGAAGCCCTCCTTGGGCCATACGTGTTGGATCGGTTTGGACGTTTTTGTTGTGTGCTTGCATGGTCTGATCATCCAATACTTGGCTGAAAGCAAGTAACAAAGTGGTTCAAGTAAAAAGAGAGAAAGTAACACGGAATCACTACGTGTGGCTGCTATGACATGCTTGCAAGATGGAACATTGGAAATTTTTCATAGGATTATTCTCAGGTTTTCAGTGGCTTTCAGGACACATTCTTTTCCCGCACGGGTGTGTGTTAGGCCCAGGCGTATTGAAGACTTGAAGATTCCTGCGTTTGTTCACTGAGTTGCGCCCCGCCAGGCGAAACTTACCACAGCCCGGTGAAGAGGTACCCTCAAGCTCAAGCCTCTGAATCCAGCGATTTCAGTGAGTCCGATGCAGCCTGCTGAATGAGTCGGTGGGCGAAATCGGAAGAGTTTTGAATGTTAGGATGGAGTCCTTTCGATGCTGGCATCTTCCAGGATGTTCCGTGCAGCCGATGGCAACAAGCCGAGTCGGTGGGCGGGCTGTCCGCATTTTGATCCTTCAGGCTGTCCACAAGGATGGAACTGGCTGGTGCTTGGTGGGTTCAGAAACTCCACAATACTCCATGGCAGTTTCAGATGTTTGATGATGTTTGGGAGACCACCGGACAGGAGGAATTGCGACTTGTCGTCCGTTGGGCGCCAGCCAGAAGAGCCTCTTACTGCACGACGACCTACATGGCTTTGGCTCCAGGGTGTTCGATGCCTTAGTACCTCGCTGGGCAGCCGACCACTTGCAGCCAAGCCCGCCTGGGCCAAAGATGGGCCGGTTCGGCTCCGTGCGCCCGGTCAACCACCCGAACCGAGCTTGTTCGTTCGATTCGGCCGGCTTCATCCCCTGAAAAGCCCGATGATTCCATTGACACTTTTTGAGACCTACTGCCTGGATCTTCCCAGTATCCCCCTCTGATCCCCTGCTTGTCCCTGGTTTGCGGTCACTTAGGCCCCCCTAAAACTGGGCCACTTCGGGACCCTAAAAAGGTCAACGAGAAGGTCCGGCTGTAGATTTGATTGAACAAGATTGAACTGGTGGGGATTTGGAGTGTTTGGGACTGAGCTCTTGCGGATGTTATGAGATGTTGGGGCTTTGGTCGAAGAGAAGAACTAGCATCCACGTCTTGCCTGGTCATGTTTTCACAGTTTTTGATTCTTTAATATTCTTCGCAAAGAGTTCACTCAGCCCTCACAAACATTCAAAAACCATCGAACAGATGATGTTCAACCTGTCCACGTTTTGCAGGATATGGCCGTAATGGATTCAGGATCACATGTGGGCCTCCCCGGAAAATAATCCTGCTCAAGTAGTGGAAAGAGAAGACCTGGGATACTTCATGATAATTCCAAATCTGGACCCATTTTCCGTGCAAAATGGCTACAGGGTCAAAACCAGCATGCCTTTGTTACCTTTGTTGACCTATACCCTATACCTCTTCCGGGTCCTTCGCTACATGGTGGATGAGGGCTTCAAGTTGTGACCCATCCCCAAATCAATCCTGGTACCATTTCTTCGGAGGCGTTGGGAGTTCCTTGTTCTGGCGCTGCTGTGCCTTGTGAGCGCTCTCTCCACCCTCCACTTTGCTTGGACGTCCGGCACTCCCAGACCGAACGGCTGTTTTTCTCCGAAGGGCACGAACGGCTTGGACATCCAGACCGTCTGGGTGTGACATCGAGGCGGTGAACAGGTGAACCACAAGGTGTTTTAGGGAAAAGGTCTGCAACCTAACCATCAACATCCACGGAAAAAAGACCCTACAAGTCCAGTCTGACCCGGGGGTCTGACCTGGACCTTTCACCTGGAGTTAGCGGTTTTCAATGACCAACTCCGATGGCGTGAGGCCTTTGACTCGGAAACTGATAGTGGCATATACTGTATACCCCAAACGGAGTGCTCGGCGCATCGCAGATGGCGCATCTGGCGCATCTGGTGGAGTCCAGGGGGTCGCTTGAGGTCCAGGGAGCCGCTAGAGGGATACAATAGCCCGACACTCCCATGTAGAGCATATTTACCTACACTGGGGTGGTGCCAGAGGGGTCAATGTAGGCATATAATATAGCATATTTACCTACACCCCAGGGTGGTGATTTGAGGGGTCAATGTATATAGGCATATTTATAAATATGACGGACATGGAGTGTTTGGGATATATGGCAATATGGTTGCAATATGGTTCTGTGCTTTAATGGGGGGTGCCTCCCAACTAATGGGTAGACGGGTCTATGTTCCTTCTTGGAGGAGGTCGAACGGGGAGGTCTCCCTTCTTTAATCATACCCATAATATGGATCATTCCATGATGATTCAATATGATTCAATCACGCCCTCCAGTCTAATTGTATTGTTAGGTCCTATTATATAGATCTTATTATACTGACTGCCGTGGGGTTTTGGCCTGTGAGGAGGTGGATGGGATGCGGAACCTGCAGGTGCAGGGCGCCCGGAGTGGATCCGAGGCGTCTGCTTCCACCCGCGAAACCGCCGGACTGGCGTGAGGGATGCCAGCAGTGCCAGCCCAGCTGGTGGGAGGACCATGGATGGAGGTGTCCAATCAAGATCCCGTAGTCCATTGGCCCTGGGATGGTGGAGGGCGGCACATGTCCAGTTGAAGTTAACATTTTACACTTCCCCCCCAAAAACATCGGTGTCTTCTAAAGCCTTCTGGGAAGGGGGCAAGCCACGGCCTATGTGTGTTTGACGCACGAAGATGGTCATAAACCCAGACACGAAGAGCTTGTCCAGATCGAAGGTCCATGTTCCATGCCCAGTAGGGTATGCTCAATTCCAAGCAATGTTTGCATTGATATTTCCCTAGATCCCCAAGGTAGGTCAAAACATGGAGTGTTTTGAGTTTTGGTTGAATAGGCTAAGATAGCCATCCTACAGTGGGACCACCAATGTGACTGTGCTGCAGAGATGCAGTCAGATCCTATGAAACACTCTTCCCTCACTGCTCGAAGGACTTCTGGCATTGGCGCTTGGCAGAGCTTCATGGTGGATCTGGCCGGCAAATCAATCCGCCTACGGGAATGGAGTCTGAGCCGCAGAGAACCGCGGGGGCGGGAAAGGACGCGTGGAAAATGGCCCCTCAAGTTGAACACCATATCATGACGAACATCTGGAGAGCTCTATATATTTATGTGATTTTTCTGTGTCGGTGTCTATGTATGTCAGTGTTTGCAGGTGTGCAGCTTTGCCATATCAAGGTGCCATATCAAGGCTAACCGCTGTCATGTGGAGACACTGCTCCATTTGGCACATCTGCTGGATTTGCACAGTGCTTCAGCTCTACCCATGTACTTGACGCATTTTGACACCCTACATCACCCAAGCACATTGAGCCTGCTGACATGGAGTCAACGGGCCAACGCTTAGGGATTCCCACCATGCACATGGTCGTTCTGGGACACCTTAAGACCTGAAGCACGTCTAGATGCCTACAGCGCCATGCAGTGCTCAACCAAAATGCGTTCAAAAGACGTTCTGTTATAGATGCCAGCCCCCCCCCCAAAAAAGAACATCAATCCGAATGACATACTGCCTTCTTTGACTGATTCCACCCTTAGAGTTTGCCATATTTTGCCCAAACTCCGAGAGCTCAAGAGCTGAAAAGAGCCCATCCAAACCAGTTCTCGTCGTGCAAACCCTGTAAACCATTTACTCTCCCTGCACTCTCTGTCATTTGGTGCCTTGGTGCCTTTTTGTCACTCTGGAACTCAAAAGAAGTGCAGCAAAACGCCAGGAGTGGGAGTGGGGCAACTCCCGCAACTACACGGATTGGCAGCTCGACCATTTACGCCTGCTGCGTGGGCGTTTTTCTCGCGGTCGGCGACCCACTCATGTTGATTGACACCAAAAATCGGAACCGGAAAAACTGCCCCTCCCCCCAAAATCCTATCAACGGATCCCAGAAATGTGCTTCCAGAAGTAAGTCCCTTGACTGGGAGCCTTCCCATGTTCTTCAGTGAGACGTCCGCCGCCCCAGGGCGGGCCTGGGCCTGCTGACCTCAGGTACCAAGCGAGTGCTGAGTTCGTGCAAGACTTGGTGCGTCCCTACGCCGATCCCACGCTGGGTCCGGTGCTCCACGTGGGCTGCGGCGATGCGCCCGTGCCGGAGCACTTGCACGCGGCAGGCGGGGGAACCCGCACGGGTGCCGCGCAGAGTGGTGGGCAGGAGGTAGGTATGAAGAGGTATGAGTCGAGGTGGCAGGAGGGTTCGGAGGTGGGGGAGATGAGGTGGCAGTTGTTGCAATGGTGTTTTGACCATGTCCAATGTGATCGATGTTTCTGTTGAGGAGGATGATCTCATGGGGTAGTTGTCGAGTTTTCTCATGCAGC